AAAAAAAAAAAAAAAAAAGATATGGGCTGGAAATTTCGTTTTCAGTTTTTTTGATTTTCAGATGAAAATGTGAACACTTTTGAGCAAAACGGACACTTTCTTCAAAACTATTATTTTAGATGAAAACCCATTTTTTGTCCTCAAAAAAGTTTAAATTGAAAGTTTTTAACCAGCTCTACTTGCAATCATCTGTATGTCACAACTCTGATATCACTGGAGCAATGCTCTATGGACTCTAGTGAGGTATAAATTCTCCCTTGACTCTGTAGCTATGAAATTGGGGTTGACTTCAATCGGTACAATTTTTTCTTCCTCTGGTCTTCAGGGCTGAACCTGCCTGTGATAAGAGCTCTGAAAAGTGAAATGTGCTAGGAGCATACATGTTAGAGTAATAGACATAACACATGTCAATGTCCCCACTTACATGCTCTACCTAATCTAATCCTACTAATGCTAGAGATGCACCTTGTGACAGTCTCCTCAGGACAGCCTAGAACCATAAATGTGTTACTCCTCTGCCTTAGTAAGTGTGAGCTTTGCTGAAGATTAGATGGTGTATCAGCTCCCTTCCACACCAATCTGCCTGCTTCACCAGCAAAATCCTGGAGACTCTGTCAGTCTCAACTCTGTCTTCCAGGTAATCAGTGAACCCCTGAGTTCCTGAGTTCCTCAGAGATGGCTCTCTGCAGTGTCCAATCCTTCTCACTGGACATTCAGAAATTATTAAATTCGCTGCCTTCAGCGAGACAGTTTACATACCAGCCTGTTAGGTTAGCTGAGGACTCACTTTTTGCTTCAATATAACCACACTGAGATGGCTTATAGGAAAATGAAGAATATGTTTATTAATAAAGAATAGAGATTTAAATCATACTAAGTAAGAGAAAAAGAGACAGGTAGAGTTACAAACAAAACAAAACAAAACAAAACAAAACATGCTTTCCAGTGGCTAAAACTTTATTTTAGCAAGTTACAATCTTTGACTAAGCTGTTTTTTCACTTACATCAGGATACCAGCATATCTAGCCCTGCAGGCCAGAGGATCCACCTTTTCAGAATCAGACTGTGCTGACTCCTTTGTTGCCTAAATGATGGATAACAAAGGGGTTCTCTCCCCTGGATGAGCTGGGCTCCTGGCTGGTCTACAATTCCCATGGTGTATCTCCCACTGTCTGCCTTCTTGCTGAGTTGCTGTGCTACATAATGGGAGTCCCACGCCTACAGCACATCATGGGAAATCTAGTCTGGTTGAGAAGCAGGACCAAAGGGGGAAAAGGGCTCTGCAGTGGCATGTCGGAATAGAAATTTTTGATTTTCAGCCAAAAATTTTCAGTTTTGGACAGAAAATTTTGGGATTTTGGCCATTAAAGTTTTCAGTTTTCAGGTGTTTGGGTCTTTTTGGTCAAAAAAACCAAAGTAGTTTGTTTAGTCAAAAACCCAATTTTCTATCAAGTAACAATTTAGACAAATTTTTTTTGACCAGCTCTACAATTATATTGTTAGCTCTTTGAGAAGTCAGTGCAAATTAGGTGCATAAGTGTCATTTGAGTCTTTCAAAACAGTTTGCATGGTGTACAATTACATGGCATAATATTGTCAGAATCACAAGGTCAATCTTATAGTGTGCCATGGTGCATTATTCTGTACTACGACATACATTATGTGCATACTGTGTGTACTTTGCTCCAGGGGAATTTGAAGATCAGTGTTGGTATCATACTTTGTGGATGGATGATAAGTCTGGAAGGGAGCAGATGCATCTGATATTATATGGGTGCATGAGACAATGCTATGCTTGGAAAGTTCCAACCTAACACATTGTGTGAGCTATCAGAAACAAACAAATAAATAATAATAATATGGCTCTGAATGGGGCATGCAGGTGTACCCACACACCTCCTGGGTGTGGTGTTCTGTCCCATCTAGTGGCACCGAGACCACTTAGAGATGGTTACATGAGTCTGCTCTACAGCTTTAGCTACCAGCCAGTTGGCTTTTAGCTCATTTGGTAGAAACTCATGCACTAAGCTCCAGAGGCCCCAGGTTTGATCCTGCCCACCGACGAGCAGGGTCTGTTACACAGGAACTACTGAAAGTAAGCAGCAGGTAAGGTGCAGTGTAAAAAATAGATAGAATGGTAGGGCTTGAGTAAAATTAATTGGTGACACAACTGATACCAGAAAAAAGGGGGTTTGTGTTATAGCACAAACCGTGGGGTTTTGTCTGGTGTGTCACTGTTACTTTAGACACCCAATTTTGAGGACTTATCTATCTATCTATCTATCTACCTACCTACCTACCTACACACACAAATATAATCTTTTACTTTTCAAGCACTTGGAATAATTTAGTATAAAATACAAAATAACTTCCAAATGCCTCGTGTTCTCGTGACCTGAGAACATAGGGAGGATAGCAACTTCCTTTTCTTAAAAACAAAATGGAAAATGTTGTAATTCCCCAAGCGGATTTAAAAATAGATTTTTTTTAAAAAATGCATCTATCAGATCAACCCCTCCCATGTCAATACATCATGCAAGGAGCTAGTTGTCTCCACAGTAATTGGTTTCCATCATGCTGCATCATTTAAGGGATGAGAAAGCATGCTCTGCTGAATGCAAAACTTCCTTTCCTCTCTGGTTTAATTGCATTTCTGTTCTCCGCATTACATAACTTTAGAAGCATATTATAAATATTGTCCTGCATCATAGATCATGTTTATGCTTTATACAGCATTTTTATTCTGACAGATCTCAGAGCATTAGCAAACCAGGCAAATTAAAAAAAAAAACCTTCCCCCTCATTTTAAAGCCATTTTGCTTTTATTTGCAGAAATACATTTCTGTCATGATCTGTGGTATTTTATCTAGAACAGTCACTCTGCAGAGTCAATTTTGAGAGGTTTGATTAAAATAAACTGTAAGTTTTAATGAGACAAAATATATTTATTGACAACATGATTTAATTCCGTTGTTTTTGTTTTATTTTAAATTCAAGAAAAAATCATGGCTGACTCCAACCCAGAATGAGGTAAATCATATTAATAATAGTGGGGATAGCCACACTAAGAATCCAGGCAGATGTGGGGAATAAACAATTTAACCTTATGCCTTGTACACACTTGTTTTTCTTTCTTCTTTGGAGGTGGGAGTTTTAGACACGCATCCAAAAGTACAACCTTCAATGAGTCTCTGGAGGAATGGGGTTCCAATCCCTGCACTGTAGCTTTGGTTCCAAGAGGCCTGTTTTCTGGCTTAGATTCTGCTGCAGCTGAAATCTCCCATGAACAGCTTAGAAGATTTTTACATTATCAAACCCCCATCTGGAACCTCATCCGGATCTAGATATGGACACTGCCTCCTCCTCAGCCCATCTCCAGTAAGTTTAAAAACCAGACTAGCTTAGACCAATAACAACTGGAAATCCAGGCAGGGTTAGAGTAACTGGGTCACAGGCCCTTGTATGATGGAAAATTGAAAATTGTTGGCAAAATAAAAATTTTCTGTTGAAAATTCTGATTTTTCCAGAAACTGCATATTCTTTTGGAAAATCATGTGTCTATCTTTGAGAGAATCCACCAGATAACAGCCCAGAGACTCCATCATGTGTGTGTGCCAAGGGTTTAAGGTTTTTCATATATATTGAAATATGGAGAATATGTGTGTTGCCCCATGGTACAATAGCTCTGCAGCTCTAGTCACATAGGATCTGAGGAATAATCTCTGGACCCTTTTGTGGGAGCCAGAATCAGGAGAGAAAACTTCCATCCTATGTTCCCCATATGGCTTTTAAGTGCTGTCTACCACATGACATCATCTAAGTGGCCTCAGTCCTGGCTTCCTTCCCCCCTCCCCCCCCAGAACAGAAGCCTTAATGAGTTAGCTGGTGAATTTCAGCATTTATTCAGGAGCACCGAGTCATCTTTTCATAATTTGTTACAAATATTAAATTGCAGAGCTGTTTTCTGTGTTTTTATTTTAGTGGGAAGCCTGCAATTACGGTTAATGCTTTGTTACTTATTCTGTGACATGTGGTAACACTACAGAGAATAAAGACCAGGAAACACATGGAGCTGACAGGCAGGACCAATCATTTGCTCTTTGCCAACTGGGCTGCATATATGTTTCTGGCAGCTAGCTGCGTGACACTTCAGGTTCCCTCCCTTGTCTTTCCAAGAGTAACACAGATTTTTTTTCCCCTGCAAAGGAAAAATGAAATCATAACATTTACGTCCTACCCCCCTGCAAAAAAAAAAAGCCATTTCCCTCATTCCAAGGCATCTGAAGGAGATAAAGTGGCTGGTTTAAGAACTGGTGTTCATAACTCAGAATTGCTGCAGACCATATTATTAATGGATGCTTTGACACATCAATTACTCACTTGATATATTTGAGGTAAAATGATGTGAACGTATTTTGTTTTCTTTAAAAAGTGGTGAGCATTAGAACACTACAAGAATAACTTTTGTTGCCAATTTGTAACACTTGAATTTACACAAATATAACAAACATGGTTGAGCTGTTTCTACACAACAGCTGTTATCACAACACAACCATATGCCAACCAAGTTTGTGCATCCACATATACTACACTGCCTAACAAGAATGTGCATTTTGAGAAAATCTAGGTGGTCCTCTCATAATGCCGGGGAGATGCATAAGGAGCTGCAGCAGCCGCCTGTATGGCAACTCATAGGTTCATATATTCCAAGACCAGAAGGGACCATTGTTATCTAGACTGAACTCATGTACAACACAGGCCATAGAACTTCCCCACATACATTCCTAGTACATATTTTTTAAGAAAATCGTCTAATCTTGATTTAAAACTTGTCAGTGATGGAAAATCCACCATAATCCTTGGTAAGTTGCTGCAATGGTTAATTACTCTCACTGTTAAAAATTTACACCTTATTTCCAGCCTGAATTTGTCTAACTTCAACCTTCAGTTACTGGATTGTGTCATACCTTTCTTTGCTAGATTGAAGAGCCCATTATTAAATATTTGTTCCCCATGTAGGTACTTATAGACTATAAACAAATCACCCCTCAACCTTATCTTTGTTAAGATAGATAGATTGAGCTCTGTAAGTCTCTCACTGTAAGGCAAGTTTTCTAATCTTTTAATCATTGTCCTGGCTCTTCTCTGAACCCTCTCCAGTTTATCAACCCTCCTTCTGAACTGTGGACACCAAAACTGGACATGGTATTGCAGCAATGGTCACACCAGTGCCAAATACAGAGGTAAAATAAGTTCTCTACTCCTACTCAAGATTCCCCTGTTTATGCATCCTAGGATCATATTAGCTCTTTTGGCCATATTGTCACACCGTGACCTCATGTTCAGCTGAATATCTGCCACAACCCCCAATTCTTTTTCAGTCACTGCTTTCCAGGATAGAGTCCCATATCCTGTAAGCATGGCCTACTTCTTTTTTCCTAAATGTACATATACATTTACATATTACCATATTAAAATGAATATTATTTGCCGGTTCCCGAATGATCCAGATGGTTCTGTATAAGTGTTCTGTCTTCATCATTATTTACCATGCCTCCAATTTTTGTCTCATCTGCAAATTTTATCAGTGTTGATTTTATGTTTTCTTCCAGGTCATTGATAAAAAAGCTAAACAACACAGAGCTAAGACATTATCCCTATGGGACCCCAATAGAAACACATCCATTCAATGATGATTCCCTGTTTACAATTACTTTTTGAGACCTGTGAATTACCCAGCTTTTAATCCATTTAATATGTGCCATGTTAATTTTATATCGTTCTAGGTTTTCAATCAAAATGTCATGTGATACAAGGTCAAATGCCTTTCAGAAGACTAACTATATTACATCAACAGTATTACTTTATCGAACAAACTTGTAATCTCATCAAACAAAGATATCAAGTTAATTTGACAGGATCTATTTTCCATAAACCCATGTTGATTGGCATTACTTATATTACCCTCCTTTAATTCTTTATTGCTTTAGTCCTGTATCACCCACTCCATTGAACAAGCTTCAACACCTAGAGCTCTACCAATGTATTGTAATGATTAGTGTAGACAGCCCCTCTAGGTGGTACTGTATCTTTTTCTTAGTGTTGAATTGTTGTCTTGCTTTGATATTATATTGTTATTGTATCAAATGGGGTGGAGACCTGGAAGAGGAGGGTTGTAGGAAGTTCTGAGTCCTGCCTGTGTGTGCTGGAGTTGGTAACTGCAGTGTTTCAATAAAATCTCTGTGATTCTGTAAGTGAGTATTACAACTGATGGCAGTGGCTTTAAGATGGCAAAACCACTTTTGCTTGAGCAGAAGTTTACTGGTCATGCAGATGAGACTGGACTCTGTGAATACTTGACAGACTTTGAGCTGTTGCTGTCTGTCAACGAGCGGACTGATGAGAAAAGAGCACAATACCTAGCAGTGTTTTTGAGAGGTGATGCCAGAACATTTTACCAGCAGCTTCCTGGTGTAGTTCATGGTTCTTATGGACAGCTATGCAAACATTTATACAACCACTATGAGGGGAGATTGGCCCGTTTGAAACACTGGAAGGAATGGCCAGCCAGGAGGGGGCAGGGAGGGGAACCCCTGCATAGTTATTTGTATGTATTGAGGATACTGTTAGATAGGGCTTTCTCTGCACCACCCTGGCAGAGAAGTGGCTCAAGTGAAGCATAAACTCCTGCACTGAATCTGGAGCTGCCAGTGCAGAGAGGGTCTGTGCCCAACAGGGCCGGCTCTAGGCACCAGCAAAACAAGCTGGTGCTTGGGGCGGCACATATTTAGGGGCGGCATGGCCGGCGCCAGAATGCCGCCCCTAAAAATGTGCCCCGGCCGCCCTAGCTCACCTCCGCCGCTGCTGCCACGGCGCGCGAAACAGCTGCTTCGCTAGGGTTACCATACTTAACAAATAAAAAAAGAGGACCCTCCATGAGGTCCTGGCCCCGCCCATTTCCCACCCCAGCCCCACCCCAACCCCGCCCTAACACCGCCCCCCCTCCCTCCCACTCCCAGCCACACGGAAAGGGCTGCCCGAGCGCTACCGGCTTCACAGTTTGCCGGGCAGCCCCCAGACCCTGCGCCCCTGGCTGGTGCTTCCCCAGTGCA